GGACCAATGGCGTTGCAGCGTCTCTAACGTTGGTTTGGTGTGTGATCAGAGGGATGTGGGCTAATTCCTCCAGAAGCGTCTCACACACACACACACACACACACACACACACACAGTTGATTACAGAAGCTCAGTTTATTACTGATATTCTGCACCAGTTTCTCAGGAAGGGATGATGCTTTTATTCTCTTGAACACGAGATGGAAACGCTGCTTTATTTGTGTTTTATGCACTATTCCAGTTTTGCAACTTTGAAATATAGCTATTGATAGTTTCAGTCGTCTTCCTGTAATCCTGCATCAGAATGTCATCCGCAGACTACAGCCTCATCTTCAGAGGACACATTACGAATATCACTGCTGAATTATTGACACCGGCCGAGAGAGCTACTCAGAATTAGTGGCAAGACAGAGAGAGAGAGACAGAGAGAGAGAGAGAGAGAGAGACAGAGAGACACACAGAGAGAGAGAGAGAGAGAGAGAGAGAGAGAGAGACACAGAGAGAGAGACACTGAGACTAATTGTTTCACAGCTGAGTCTTTACCTTCTTCATTAAAGAAGCGGACATGATAATTCACACACACACACACACACACACACACACACACACACCCCGTAGTGTTATCAAATACAAATGACTGCCTCACTAAGCAAATGTGAAATGTTTATTCTCAGTTCATGCATATTTGATTTCAATAACATATCTGCGTGTGTGTGTGTGTGTGTGTGTGTGTGACGCGCCTCACCCTGCGGCTTCAGTCGACACGTTATCGAGGTCAGTGTGAGGATCGGCTCTCCTCGTGTGTTCTCTAGTTGTCGTAAACGTGTGTTCAAGCGCTCATCGGCTGCTTCTGTCATCACTGCTCCTTTCCTCTGTGCGACGCGACAAGATCTTAAATCTTGAATTATGATGAAATATGTTTGCCGACATCACTCGAACCGCAACGTTCGTGTGTGTGTGTGTGTGTGAATCTGCTGGAGGAGGAGAACATCAAACACACAGACGGATCTGATCTCCTGCTTTCCCATATATATATATATATATATTCTGTAATACACTGAAAACAATTCAGTCCAATTTACAGTAAAAAACGGCAGCTACAGTAAAAAATACGGTAGCAGCACTTTAGGTTTTACAGACTTCAAAATTTACAGTAAAAAACGCATTTCACGAACGTATTTTTAACAAAAATGCATCAAATGTGAAGTGTTACGCAGGGAATTGTGGGAATCTCAAATTACGACTTTTCACTGTAACTCATCAATCACAGTTATATATTCACCGTATAAAGTATGGAAACTGCCTTTTACCGTTGAAATGACGATACGATAAGTGTACGATCTTATCCTGATCATCTCTGACAGAAATCCATCAAACACACGTTTATCCTCGTTTACCATCGCAGATCGAAACTCCACAGACACACTGCAACAACACACTGTAAAAAAACACACTTTGTAATTCCTTTACGAGTAACTTCTATTCAATTTTCAGAAAAACAGTTTTACTTTTTTCAGAGCAGAGTGTGTGTGTGTTTCTTTGTGTGAATGTACAGCCAACACAATAACCTCAAAATGCCAAGGATGTCAGAAAGGCTTCATGAATCAATCCAACATTCAAAGGTTGACGTGACCGACTGAGCTTGTAGAGTTTTCTAGATATATTTCTTTCCTTTGCACTTCCCGCTGCAGAGATGTACGTCACAAACACACGTCCACATACTGGACTGCACAAAGAAAACATTCATTTTTCCGTTTGACGCGTCTCTCAGCGAGCAAAAACGTGCTCTGAGAAGGTTTCCTAACATTCCCATTAAGTTATGAAAATATTATTAACGTAAAGCGGATGTTAAGGAAACATTATGGGAACGTTTGAATCTCCTCTGAACGTCCTGAAACAAAACATTTTTTTTTAAATTCAGAAAGAACACTCCATGACCGATGTATGAATGTGTGTGTGTGTGTGTGTAACGTTTGAGAACATTATTAAAGACCAGAGAACTCTGAATGTTCTCGATACTGGGAGAACCTTCGTTTGAAGTTTTGAGAGAAAATTACTGTCACAACACAACTCAACAAAACTCAAGACACAACTCTGAACTCAACAACTCAACAAGACTCAACTGAATTCAACACACCTGAACTCAAGACTCAACTCAACACAACTGAACTCAACACACGTCTAGACTCGACAAGACTCAAAACAACTAAACTCAACACAACTCTACAAGACTTAACACAGCACAACTGAACTCAACAAGACTCAACAATACTCAACACAACTGAACTCAACACACCTCAAGACTCAACAAGACTCAACACAACTGAACTCAACACACCTCAAGACTCAACAAGACTCAACACAACTGAACTCAACACACCTCAAGACTCAACAAGACTCAACACAACAAGACTCAACTCAACTCAACAAGAAACTCAACACAACTGAACTCAACACACCTCAGGACTCAACAAGACTCAACACAACAAGACTCAACTCAACGCAACTCAACACGACTCAACAAGACTCAACACAACTCAAGAGTACAACACAAATACACACCTCAACAAGACTCAACACAACTGAACTCAACACACCTCAAGACTCAACACAACAAGACTCAACACAACTGAACTCAACAAGACTCAACACAACTGAACTCAACACACCTCAAGACTCAACAAGACTCAACACAACAAGACTCAACTCAACTCAACAAGAAACTCAACACAACTGAACTCAACACACCTCAGGACTCAACAAGACTCAACACAACACGACTCAACTCAACACGACTCAACACAACACGACTCAACACAACACGACTCAACACAACTCAAGAGTACAACACAAATACACACCTCAACAAGACTCAACAAGACACAACTCAGCAAGACTGAACTCAACAAGACTCAACACGTCTCAAGAGCACAACACAAATACACACCTCAACAAGACTCAACAAGACTCAACACAACTGAACTCAACAAGACTCAACAAGACTCAACACAACTGAACTCAACAAGACTCAACACGTCTCAACTCAGCAAGACTGAACTCAACAAGACTCAACAAGACTCAACAAGACTCAAGAGCACAACACAAATACACACCTCAACAAGACTCAACAAGACTCAACACAACTGAACTCAGCAAGACTGAACTCAACAAGACTCAACACAAGTCAAGAGCACAACATAAATATACACCTCAACAAGACTCAACACAACTGAACTCAACAAGACTCAACAAGACTCAACAAGACTCAACACAACTGAACTCAACAAGACTCAACACGTCTCAAGAGCACAACACAAATACACACCTCAACAAGACTCAACACAACTGAACTCAACAAGACTCAACAAGACTCAACAAGACTCAACACAACTGAACTCAACAAGACTCAACACGTCTCAAGAGCACAACACAAATACACACCTCAACAAGACTCAACACGACTCAACTCAGCAAGACTGAACTCAACAAGACTCAACAAGACTCAACAAGACTCAAGAGCACAACACAAATACACACCTCAACAAGACTCAACAAGACTCAACACAACTGAACTCAGCAAGACTGAACTCAACAAGACTCAACACGACTCAAGAGCACAACATAAATATACACCTCAACAAGACTCAACACAACTGAACTCAACAAGACTCAACAAGACTCAACACAACTGAACTCAACAAGACTCAACAAGACTCAACACAACTGAACTCAACAAGACTCAACACGTCTCAAGAGCACAACACAAATACACACCTCAACAAGACTCAACACGACTCAACTCAGCAAGACTGAACTCAACAAGACTCAACAAGACTCAAGAGCACAACATAAATACACACCTCAACAAGACTCAACAAGACTCAACACAAGTCAAGAGCACAACACAAATACACACCTCAACAAGACTCAACACAACTGAACTCAGCCGTACTTCCGTGCACATGGATTAGCGCAGTGATTTTGTGTAGCAGAAGTGCGAGTCAGTACTGTAACTAAATGGGTCATTCCACACTGGCTCCGTATGATCAGAAACCCGCAGTGAACTGACCCCGTTTCTGTCGTTTGTGACACACTCTGCCCTACACAAGACTTCAGGTCTCGTCCTTCACGGCGACGCATTCACTTCCAGCACAATTCCGCTGATAAAGAACCATAATTCCCCTGGATTTCCATAATCCTCGCTAATGAACCAATTAAACAGCAAATGATGTAATTGGCAGGTTTTGTTCAAACAGACCGTAGCTGATCTCTACAGTCACATTGTTGCATGAATTGCATTTGAAATACAACACGAAATGAATGAGGCAGAAATCCAGAAGTGGAACATTTGCATTGCGTAAAATCTCAGAACTGGACATTACTTCAGAACAATCAGTACGGGCGGTAATCTGCATTTATATGAGAAGTACGGCAAGAAATAAATACATATATATACATTTATCTATATATAACTCACATATAATACACTTCAAAAAAAAAATTATAGAGATGCATTTCCTAAAGTAGTAAAATGCCATAAGATATTATGTCTTGTTTTCTGGGGAAATACATAAAATAAGCGAGTTTTTAATTAAAACGAGCAAAATTATCTGCCAGTGCTGTTAGAAAAATAATCTACATTCAAACAGAAAGATGATTTTTCTCAACCCATTGGCAGATCATTTTTAAGCAAAAACTCACTTAAATTAGATTATAGAAAACATAAAATCTTATGGCATTTTACTATTATGTTAATGCATCTTGATTTAGACAAAAATACAAATGCTAATACTGACACACATATTTAGGTGAAAGCAAGCATTGGCCAAACACCTAAAAGCTCATCTGTCAATCATATGTTTCTGCTGTTAGATCAGACACACTGTGCATCTAAATGAACTGTTGAAAAGTCATAATCAGTGTGTAATCACGCCATGATGCGAGTGCACATGAGGTTTGGTGATGTTGTGAGTGTTCTAGTGTGCAGTTTGAGCTCTCACCATCCTCTTTGTCGTCGAACACGGGTCTCTTGGATGAACTGTTCGCTCCCATCCTCTTCTTCCACTTTCCCCAGTGAAACATTGATGCTCTGATCTCATTCCTTTCAGCGCGACTGAACCTGATGCTGCTGATGCTCTAAAACACGAGCATCTGTGAGTGAGGAACACCGAGGATCTGCTCCAGAGATCACACATATACACACACACACATATACACACACAGACTCGAACTGAACACGAGCTTCAGCGCCGGCGCGTTTATATGAACCTCCCCTGCGCGAGACTCGGGCACGCGCGCGCGCCCGCGACGCTGAACAGTACAAATGGTTTTTGTCAGGTTTTTTTTTTTTTTTCTTGTGATGTTTTTTGTTGGTGTTTTTTATTGCAATAACAATAGGGGAATAGAGTCATACAAACACTTGAATCTATAAAATAATTACAATCACAGATCACAATTTTGCATTTTGTATAAAAAAAATCAAGTATCCTTTTCATCAGCTGTGGTCAGCTTGGTTTTTGTCATGTTACTTACCAATGTGTCGCCAGATGCAACAAAGGTTTTCAATAAAAGAGAAAAGAATAATATTTAAGACCCTTAGGTGTGTATTTAGGCTACATGACAATGATGTACTAAAAACAGAACAGTTTTTCCTCTGTCTAAAGAAACACTACATGCCAGTAGACTCAACACGCATGCGCATGACGTCACCGTTTTAATAGATTCGCGTGTCGTTTATAAAAAAAAATACATTTCGAAATCAGTTTTCAAAATCTTCTCCTCTTTATTATTATATCACACATCAGATCACTAACTCCAAAAACCCGCGACCGTACCAGAGCAGGACTCATCTACGGCAAGCCCCGAAGTGAAAAATACATTGCATACACACATACAACGGGCGCTAGTACATCATTACCGGTATTATAGTAACAGACTTTGTTGGATTATGTCATTACAATCCAAAAAAGTGTGTTACAATAACAATAATAAAAAAGATTTTGAGGACAGTTGCACTGTATTGAGACAGCTGAGAAATATATTTTTGCAGTTTTCAACAATAATTGTCATTAACCCTTGCTCTTATTTTGTTTCTGATTTCTCAGTTTTGTCATTATTTTAGCAAATAATTTAGTTGTATTTATTTTGAGATGTTTGTTTTAAGAAGTTTCAAAGAGTTAGTAAAAGAGTAAAGTAAAAGTTAAAACTTTTTTTATTTAAGTAGGCATCTATTTTTATTTTGTATTAACACTGTATTAATTTATAATGTATCATTATTGACTTTGCGTAGTGGGAGGGTGCCCCAAATCAGACCACCACTGCAAGTACCTCATCACCAAACTGTATGTTACTACGGTGGTGGGATAGACGTTGATTCAGTGGCCAATATGTTCCTCCCAATGTCAAAGACATGCCTACGCCCTTAATTGTCTGTACTATTCGGTCGTATCGGGAAAATACCCTTTGAGTTCTATAGACTGCCAAATGTTAAAGAGAAGAGTGCAAAAAAACTGATGAAAGAAGGCATTTGTGGTGAGAGAGGCACAGCCACATGTGTAAATGAAGCTTTGACTATGGCTAAAATGTTAACATATTAACTATGGCTACATTCACACTGCCAGTCCAAATCCTATTATCTTTGTATCCGATGGGAATCTGATCTAAAAGTAGTAGTAAATCACCTTCACCTGCTTTCAGATGGATGATATGAGTGTTAAATTAACACCCAAGAGTGTTAAAGTTAACGAGATAATTAAGTGATTAAATGAGTGATGATTGAGGATTATTGAAGACACCTGATGATCACAAGCAGAATCACTGAAGGAGAAAATCACAAATTGTAAGCCACCCTTATGGAGATCAGCGTCTGCTTTAGTTGGGCTCTTGTCTTGACCCTTATACTTTCACTTTAAATTTTGTTTGTCTGCTGTTATGATTTATAACAGTCAAAGGAACAAAGAAAACTGTGATCTGATAGTGTTGGTTATGTTTTGACATAATCATGCTGTGATCTGAAAAATTCAACTTATTTAGATGATTAGGTTTAACTTGTTAGCAACGGCTTTGTGATTCTATTGCACTGCAAAATGCTTTATAATTGTCACCATTATTGAGATTCACAGGCTGATTCTTGATGCCTTTTTAAAATTAAGTTTCAAGAAATTATTTCGATTACGTTGTAAAAGTTTAGAATATTCTGGTTTTCAATGACAGTGAAATGACAGATTTATTTTTTGGGTTGTCAAATGACAGTGTTGTAACAATAAACAATAAAGTTAATTTAACTCAGAAATTGGGCTCTACTGAGGTCAAAAGATTGTGAAATAATGACAATGTTAAACAGCGGGCACTTTTCTCTTTGTTCATTTGGCTGTTATAACAGAAGTGCAATAGCCGAACAAGTTCGAAAATAAACGACTAAAGGCTCAAGAGCCCAACTAAAGCAAACACTGATCTCCATAATGGCAACCAATTACGATTTTCTCCTTCAGAGGTTCTGATGTTATGGTGACTTCAAATGAAACACAGAGTTAAACCTCTGTTAATTCTCAATAAAAACTTCTGTAGAACCATGTCGTATTGCTATGGGCTGCTTGTGGCCCAGATCTGGCAAACAGGAGTGGGCCACCCATGCTGCAGATCCGCATCCCACAAGTGCCAGATGTGGGCCGGATCTGGGCCGAAACAATGTTGCTATGTGGGGGGGTTGGGCGGCTCGTCCAGCAGGTCGATACGCGCCCCGTCCAGCAGGGGGCTCCACTCACGGGCCTCCAGCTCCTCCATCAGCAGATCCAGCTCCGCCTGCAGCTTCTGAACGCCGGACTCCAGACGCTGCACCACAGAAGAACAACAACACTGGCTAACACATTCTTAAATCCAGACACATTTACTGGAGAAGTCAGAAATGTATCAAAATGAACAGTGACGTCTGTAAGAACTAGTGGTCGAGATCGGTACTGCAGTCCAAATTCAAAATATCAGAGATCGTAGTTTCCCCGCCTCCTCAGACTCGATGCTCACGCGGGTCGCCAGTTTCACCAAACGCAACCGGAACGAGCAAAAGACAAGGAGACAGATTATTAATGAGTTGATTTATCTAAGTTTTAATATCCTCTGGTTCATAGAGATTCTTAGATTGATTTCGAGGCTTTTTAGGTTGTGTGGAATCTACGATCTCTGACCCGGTTTGTCTGCTCGTTTCCATGGCTATGATACGCTGTGTTTCCCGCCAAGTGGCATCCTGGGGTGTCGAAGCCCTATTGGCTGAACTGGCAGTGGGCGGAGTCACATAGACCCAAACAAAAACTGTCACCCAACGTGTAAAATAATAAGTAAAATATCAGGCTGTAAAAGTGTTTTTCTGAGAAACGAGTCTATGAAGCGTGTATATCTGCAAACATATTATGGTGTTTGTATGCTTCAGTACAGTAATAAAGTTACATACAGCATCTTTCAGTGAAGTAAGCTTTATGTTTCTGACCACATTGGCAGATAAGTGTTCTTGTTTTAAGCACAAACTCCATTTTGATACATTTTTAGAAAGCAAGATCCGGCCAGATCCGGCCCACATCCGGGACCCGTTGATGTTTCATCCAAAATCAGCAGGAAACTAGAAAACAGTTCCAGTGTCTTTAAATATGTACAAACATTTAAATGAATTATTTTATACAATGCATTACATTTTTTTAAATACTTCTATTAAAAATATATATATATAAGATATTTTTGAGCATTACAAATCATGCAAAAATCTCAATGTCTTTAGACGTGTGTATCAACGTCTAAAAAATATAGTGGAAAAAAAATATTTGGGAAATTGTGAAATACAAACAATATTATTACCTATGAAGTTGGATATACAACCATGAACATATTCACAAACACAGCGAATAATCCGTGGTATAAATACACAGCTGATCGTTGATCATCTCAGAATGTAAGGCCTTTATTATCGTACAGCTGATAAATGTGCCTGAGGATATTAAGATGTCAGAAACATTTACTGTACGTGTCGTTTTCCAGCACCAACATCTAAACATTCAAGATAGATTACTGGAGACGCAACATGACTGAAGATATGAAGTCTTGTTTACTGAAAAATGCAATGAAGTGAGTTTAGTCTTAAAACTGTAGAACACATACAGTATCTGCACTGGAGTCAGAGAAATAAAGCTCATTTAAAGTGAAAACATGTGTCCTTGTTTTAAGACTAAACTCACTTCATTAACACAGCAATTAAACCCAGAGTCGATCAAGATTATGAGTGTGACGTCACCTCCTCGACACCGTCCATGCGCTCGTGAAGAGCCTTCTGATCCTGACAGGTGTGTGAGCTGCTCGTGCCTGGCCCTGTGACACACACACACACCTGAGTCACTGAAAACACATTAACATCAATCAGAACCCCATCAGAGGACAGTGAAGATTCAGTTACAGTAACATCATCTGAATAATGCTGACAACAGATGATGTCAGCTCTTCACACACACACAGCAAAAATTATGTCTTGTTTTCCAGCTCAAATGTCTAAGTTATTAAATGTAAGCACATTTCGCCAAATAAGAAACCTAAAACTTTTAAATTATGATTTAAGCTATGACCTTAGAACGTCACAATTTCGTCTTATTTCAACCTAGTGTGTTTAATTTTATGTTATGTAAACTTTTTGCCATAATTTCGACTTTTTTTTGTCATAATTTTGACTCTTCACGTATGAATGTCAACTTTTTGTCATAATTTCAATTCAGTTGTAATGTTATACTTTTTATGACAATTTTTACTTTTTAAGTCATATTACAATTTGTCATATTACATTTGTCTCAATTTAGATTGTTTGAATTCTTTAATTTCGACTTTTTAAAGTGACTTTTTGTCAATTTCAACTTTTTAATCTGTTATAATTTTGGATTTTTGTCTCAATTTTGACTTTTTATGTCTATTTATTTAATAATTTTGCCCTTTTTAATCATAATTTCAATTTCGTATGTTTAATAAATTTTTTACTCTTAGTCAAAATATCAAATGTATCAACTTTTTATGTCATAATTGTGACTTTTCATTCTATAATTATGATTTACTAAAACATCTCTAACGTGGCGTAAATGGGCTTTAATATTATTAAGATTATCGAAATGAAAATTATCGAAATGAAGTAAGTTTATGCTTAAAACAAGAACAAATATCTGCCAATGCAGTCAGGAAAATAACCAGGACAGAAACGTTTACTCCAGTCTCTCTCTCTCACACACACACACACACACACACACACACACACATACACACACACACACACACAGAGAGCGAGTCGCGCAGCTTTTAAAGCTCTCAGGGCTCGTCGTGTTTCACGGTTTTCCCGCCGGATTCCCTCCTCCACAGTCTTTGATGTGTTTGCATGAATCCCCTGTCGTGAGCAGCAGTTTAATACATCTCCTGTAAGCGAAGGATGAGCCGTTGAACACAGCGAGAGCGCCAGCACACACACACACACACACACCCACGTGTTTCTGATCTGACGTCAGATTCTCATACACACACTCAACACGCATCAACACAACAGCACTAACAGCACTGTCAATCACATACAAAGATGAGGAACTGTGGAGTTAAATAAAAAAATAATACACTTCCTGAAACGAGACTTCGAGAGATTTCCACGACGCATGCGCGAGAACTGAACTGAAGTAGTTGAAGGAGATCGCAATTCTCGCGCATGCGTCTTGGAAATCTAAGGGCCAATCCCAATTCTACCCCTTACCCCTTCCCTTTCCCCTAGCCCTACCCCTTCGCCTTCCCCTTGACCCTTGAAACAGAGTGGCAATACGTAGGGGTGAAAATATTCCCCTAAGAAATGGGACACCACTACGCCTCCGTTAAACGTCATTATAAGTCGTCTCTAGCGCCTACGTCACAGGATATGCGCCGATGTTTATCACAATTTCCAAGATCCCGTCGACAGCTGCAGTTCTCAGTCGCGTGGGTTACAGCTATTTTCTTGCATCTTGTGAAGTTAGCAGGAAACAACGGAGACGACGAAAATATGTTGCGGGACTATCGTTAGCAAACTACAGTAATTTTAGCGATTTTTTTTTACAAACGTTTCTGTGAAGAAACTGACCGTAAATATGAACACAATAATGAATGTAACATAAAGCAAATCATTATTTGTCGTTATAATACTTATTAAAGCCACAAATACTTACATTTATGGGTCTCCTTTTTCGCTTGGGCAGCCATTTTGCGTCTGTAGCCTGGGTTAGCAGTGACACTTCTCATACCCCTTCGTTTGAAGTGTGCTCCCGAAAAATCTTCGTTTGAAGGGCTATCTGGCCCTTCACCCTAGCCCTCCCCCTCCAACCAAAAGAGAATTGGGACAGCCCTACCCCTTCACGTGGACGCGCAAAACGGAGGGGAAGGGGAAAGTGAAGGGGTAAGGGGTAGAATTGGGATTGGCCCTAAGTCTCGTTTCAGACCAACAAGGAAGAAAAGGAATAGTCGAATAAAGTTGTTATTTTTGTTTGTTTTTTCGCACAAAAAGTATTCTCGTCGCTTGATAAACTTATAGTTTAAACATTTAAACATTTTCTTCATTGACTTTCTGAGCCGTCAAGTGTCATTCCCTTAGGAGCCTATGTGGTAGTTATACAGCTCTCAAATTTAATCAAAAATATATTTATTTGTGTTCCGAAGATGAACGAAGGTCTTACGGGGTTGGTACAGCATGGGGGTGAGTAATTAATGACTTAATTTCATTTTTGGGTGAACTAACCCTTTAACACGCTGTAGGAAACACCGATTTTTGTCGTTTTTGTCTGTACTGACAGCACTCCAAATGTACAAAAAAATGACCGGAGTTCTCCTTTAATCCAACCGTTGAGCGAGCGTTACAGACGTACAGAAAAGATATAAAAACACAGTACAAGATGCTTTACAAGAAGTTTAATAGGAAGTATCCAAAAACGGGAGGAGGACCGCAAGAGAAACTCAAAGAAAGTAACGTCGGGTTACTGCGGTTCCTGAACCCGTTCCTTCTCATATCTCTCCATGACGGCGTCGGCAAAACACGATCATGAGCCGTTCCACGTTTCTGTCGGCGGTGTGTAGCGTGACTGATGTCGCTGCTGGTTGCCACGGTAACAGACTCTGAGACCGGAGTTAGCCTGGGGAAAGTGTCTAATCTCTTTGGTCTAAATTAAGCCAGTCTTTATTTTTGTGAAACTGTCTAACTCGCATTAGTCTAGGCTTAGCCTGACTTCGTCACACTCATTTTCTATTGAGAATGAGGAGTTGACGTCATTTTACAGTGCCCCTCCCCTTTCCGCCATGTTGGTAGGATTCCCACGACAAAACAGTATTGATTACGTGTGTTTTTAGCTCGGTAGTAGAGGAGTTTCTCGCAATACCGCACTGTTTTACCATGCCTGGAAGTAACTGCTGCGTTAAAAACCGATAAAAACCCTGGTAACCGATAGCGTCACCTACCATCATGGCCGACCGGCTCAGACCCCGCCCAAATAGGCACGTGACTCCTCATTCTCAAAAGAGAAAATGAGTCTGAGGCCGCTCCATAGGGCTTTGATTATGAGGCGTGTCTTAACCGAACCAGGAAAAAAAAACTCTGCATTTAATTAATTGGATAGTCGTCAGACAGACAACCAATCAGAGCAACGCAGTAAGTCAAATACTTTGCATAGCATAGCTGTCAACAACAGAAGAACTTACTTATTTTAGAAGTAAAATAACGAGTGTTGCTTCTTTCACTTCATATGTGCGACCAAAGAAGAAACCACGACGACCACATGCTTTTCATTACGTCCCATCTTCTTAACTTAGCGACCGTCAGAGCCAGCTGATAAGTTACACTTTTGACGAATATCTTTCCGATCGACAAATGCCTTGATTGCAGTTTTCTGTTTGTCTAATAAAATGAATGCGCTGTCGATTAATTTTAAAAACAGACGCGACAGCAGAATTTACATCTCAATTCTCCAGCTGCAGTCATCTCTGAGGGAAACCAGTTAAGCGCTCTTTAATAACGTGATGATTACGTCCCTGCAGATCACCTGTCCATCATCGTATAAAGCCCGCCCTGGCAATCTGATTGATTGGCCCCTTCATTTTTTGCCTGATCATAATCACTCCTCAATGGATCGAACTTCCCGACCAAAAAATGTTGTGGGCGGAGTTCGGGCTGGCATCCAGGCTAGTCTAGGCAAATCTTAGACTTGTCTGACACTATAGACCGGTCTAAACTAGCTTTGTGAAACCCGCCTGTTTTCTCCGTTGATATAAAAACTAATAAAAACAATATTGTAGAAGAATAAAGTGAGTCATGAGGTTTGGAATAAATTATGAAAGTGAAGCTCTCGGGCTTGATGAAGAATCTCTGAGCCAAAAAAACACAAGTGTGTTTATGAGCTGCTCATTCCAGGAGTGTGAGATCACACACACACACACACACACACACACCTACACGACGAATCTCCCCCTCACTGACACTGAGATCCACTCGGATCTGGATTTGAGGACGGGAACATTACATGACGCTTCGGTTCTGGATGGATTCAGTAGATCATGTGTGAAATCTTCTGTGTTTCTGCGGTTCTGTCAGTCATACAGCGCTGAACACACACACACACACACACACACACACACACACACACACACACACCTAATCAGAACCAGATGTTCCAGTCGCAGAACTCTCTCTCTCTTTAAACACACTCTCTCTCTCCCTCTCTCACGCACGCACACACACACAATCTGAAAACACAGATCGACATGATCCTCAAAGTCAACGGCTGCATGTCAAACTGTTAATTAAACACGAGCTCCAGCCAATCCGCGGTCTTACCTGCGAGAATCTGACCAATGAGGAGCGCCAGAAGCGCGACACGTGTTGAGCAGCGGCCCATGGCGTCGCGTCTGTCACAAACACCGATGAAGAGCAGATCTTCGCGTTTACACTGAAGCTTGTGTCTCGATTCACTGCTTTCCTGATGAAAACACAGAACAGAAGTGGAGGAGGAGGAGGAGCAGGAGGAGGGCGGGTGGGTCTCCTGTGCTGGAGCCAAACACACAGACATGGAGACACGAGTCCAACAACAGCAGAACCCCTCTGAGCTCCAATCGCCTCCTGAGATCATGATTTCAATAGTTTAACATGTCGGACTGTATCTGATGTTATTTAATAGACATATAACATGCAGGTGAACTAATGGACTATTTCATCATTTTTGTTGTGCTTTAATTTATTAATTTTCATTATTAAAATGCTTTATTGTTCTGTGTAGTTGCTAGTGCGTTGCTATGCAGTTGCTAGGCGGCAACTGTGGTGTTGCTATAGGCTGTTCTGTTTGGCTACTCGGGTAAGGGTGGTTATCTAATTTGTTACTATAGACCATTTCACAAGATGTAAACAACACTGGTCCAGAAGCACTTCCTGTTTCAGTTTTTTAACACTACATAAAAGCTGGGATAAAATACAACCAACAGAACATTTAAAACTGAATCAAAAAGTTAAACAAACATCTATAAGATGTTTTCTTTACATGTGAAATAAAGAAAACAGTTACAAACTGAAACAGGAAGTGCTTCTGAACCAGTGTTGTTTACATCTTGTGAAATGGTCTATAGGTTTTGTTCTGTGTTAATGGTCACATAACAAACTAATAACAGATTTGTATTGTTTATTGTTTTTATTTCAAAATTATTTATTTTTATTGTACATTTTTATGATTATTAAATGTTTAATAATATTTATCACAATATTATTATTATGTTATACACATGTTATTTATTAATCATAATTCATTGTTTTAATTATAAGTATTTTATTAATATTACATTTTCATATTAGCTTTAATTATGAAGAACCCTAGTTTGATCATCACAAAACTGTTACTATTTTATATAATTACACACACACACACACATATTAATATAAATGTAATTGTAAATAAATGTACTATGTGCGATTGACATTAGATAACACAGACTGTTATACATTCAACACACTCAAAACTCATTATGAACATTTAAGAATTACAGGGAATAAGCATAAAAGCTATTTTGCTAACATGTGTGTAAATCATTCCCAGAGTGTGTGCAGAAGATGAACAGTAATGAAACACAGCAAACACACACATCATCCTCATCATCATCATCATCACCATGGGCCCGAGGCAGTGGATCACAGTAAACATGTCCACCTAGATTAGACTGAAGCAGCTCTAATGAGACACAGATCAAGGTCGCTGGTGTTGTTATTATTAATAAACAGCTGAACTCAGAGCAATCTACGACACAACTTGATCTTCACATTTTCTGACAAAAGCACATATGGTACATGTGTCAAACTTGCCTCCATGTTGCTACGGTGTTGGGTGAGGTTGCTAGGGCGTTGCATTGCAGTTGATAGGGTCTTCTGTGTTGTTACTAGGGTGTTGCTAGGTTGTTCTGTGTGGTTGCTGGGGTGTTGCTATGCAGTTGCTTGGGTGTCTTGTTGTGCGGTTGCCAGGGTGTTGTTCTGTGTGGTTGCTGGGGTGTTGCTATGCAGTTGATAGGGTCTTCTGTGTTGTTACTAAGGTGTTGCTATGTTGTGCTGTGTGGTTGCTGGGGTGTTGCTAGTCTGTTCTGTGTTTGCGTTTTCTTCCTGTCTGGTGTGAAAGAGTCTCAGTGATCATCCAGTGACACTTGTTCGTCCTTAAATGTGCGTCTGTAGGATTCTCTCACCTGTTTTCTGGTCCAGCAGGTGAAATGCAGCGTCACACACTCCTCAACAACACACGTGATTTGAGCAATCATTCATTCCACTCTAACTGTCCTGAAAACACACACTGATTGTTAGTACGACAGCAGCAGAAGAGACGGAGTAAAAGTTCAGCCGCAGGTTTTAAAGGGTAAAGTTCACAGTGTGTAACGTGTAAAGCTACTTAAGGAGGAAAGGACAACGGGACTGAAGATAACACACTGATAGCTGATCTCCTCTTATCTTTTATCTTCCCCTCTGTGCTTTGATGAGATCTGGCTGATTAACTGCGATCAGGTTCCTCCCAATCCATACATCTAATTGTTCTTAAACTTTCTGAGCTTCCCGAGTATTAAATTATGTGTGCCGTCCCACGGCTAGAATCTGCTGAAGGTGTTTCTTGGCTCCATCTCTGTATTGACTTCTCTCTTGGCGGGACTTCCATCCTTTTCTTTTTCCTGGAACGGTCATCAGAGGGGTGGACTCGGACAACAGTGATCCTCCCTTGTTAGTTGTGTGTGATGTATTGAAGCTGTCAGGCATGTGATGATGTCTGGCGTTCGTGTGCGTCTGTAAATCTCGTCTGCACATGTACGTCTGCGGGATAAAGAGACGGTTTATTACAACCTCCATAAAACACGTCCTGAGGATGAATAATAGCAGTATGCATGAAAGCATTTTGGACGGAGTTTTCTTTTTACATTTTGTACTAAATTTGAACGTTTGTGTGAGATTTCTGTCAACAGGGGCGATCAAATCTGTTCACTAGAACCAGTGCTCCTGATGTACTGAAACCTCTAGCACTATCAGTTTAGTGAATAATGAATGATTCCTCACCTTGTGTGTTGCTGAGGAGAGTTTGTTGCTACTTTACTAAGTGATCAGATGCAACATTTTCACCTGTTCAGATAGAACACCTTAGCAACACCCTAGCAACTACACAGAACACCTTAGCAACACCATAGCTAAAGAGAACCCACTAGCAACAGCCTAGCCACACAGAACACCCCAGCAACACGCTAGCGACCACACAGAACACCTTAGCAATAACTTAGCGACCACACAGAACACCCTAGCAACACCCCAGCCACACAGAACACCTCAGCAACCACATAGAACACCCTAGCAACAACCTAGGCTCATAGAACACCCCGGCAACACTCTAGCGACCACACAGAGCACCTTAGCATCTAGCGACAGCATAACCAAACAGAACACCCTAGCAACCATGCAGAACACCTTATCAACACCTTAGCCACACAGAACACCCCAGCAGCACAGAACACACTAGCAACACTCTAGCGACCACATAGAACACCTTAGCAACAACACAGAACATAAGCTCCCGATTTTTGTTTCACAACACAGAACACTCTAGCAACACAGCAACCCCAGCAACACTTTAGCGACCACAGAACACACGTTAGCAATACCTTAGCAACCACTCAACAACACACCTTAGCAACACCCTAGAAACCACACAGAACTCTCTAGCAACACAGAAAACCTCAGCAACACTCGAGCGACCACACAACACACCTAAGCAACACCCTAGCAACCACACAAAACATTCTAGCAGCACAGAAAACGCCAGCAAGACTCTAGCAACCACACAGAACACCTTAGCAACACCCTAGCAACAACACAGAACACTGTAGCAACACAGAAAACCGCAGCAAGACTCTAGCGACCTCACAACACACCTAAGCAACACCCTAGCAACCACACAAAACATTCTAGCAGCACAGAAAACCCCAGCAAGACTCTAGCGACCTCACAGAACACCTTAGCAACACCCTAGCAACAACACAGAACACTCTATCAACACAGAAAACCCCAGCAAGTCTCTAGCAACCACACAGAACACCCTAGCAACCACTCAACACACCTAAGCAACACCCTAGCAACCACACAAAACATTCTAGCAGCACAGAAAACCCCAGCAAGACTATAGCAACCACACAGAACACCTTAGCAACACCCTAGCAACAACACAGAACACTCTAGCAACACAGAAAACCCCAGCAAGTCTCTAGCAACCACACAGAACACCCTAGCAACCACTCAACACACCTTAGCAACAACCTAGCAAACATACAGAACTCTCTAGCAACACAGAAAACCCCTGCAAGACTCTAGCAACTAAACAGAACACCTTAGCAACACCCTAGCAACCACACAGAACACTCTAGCGACACAGAAAACCCCTGCAAGACTCTAGCAACTAAACAGAACACCTTAGCAACACCCTAGTAATCACACACAACACCCTTGCTTTATCTATCATATTATTTTTGTTTCACGTCCAGACCTGCGTGGAGTCTCATAAAGTCTGTAGCGGCGCAAATGATGCGGGTGGAGTCAGAGGTGATCTGTGATCCTGTCTGAAGAGGATTTAGCCTGTCCTAGAGGTCAGGGCTTGAGGTCTTACGGGGGACACTTTCCTCTGGACGCGAGTCTGAGGTCATCTTTCTCTGGGAAGCATTAAGCCCTCATCTATCCCGTTAGAGTGTCTGATTATACCACGTGAGAGGCGGGTTTAGACCCGGTCTGATACAGGAATAGAGCTGTAGGTGGAGTCCAGCGTGTGATTATGGGTAATCTCTTCTTAAATAACCCTGAGCAGTCAGCTAATGTCCTGTAGGACGTCTGAGAAAGGAGAACGAGGACAGTACTGTGGACACACACACACACACACATCAGAGAGCATCATTGAGGATGAATTTTGCAGCTCAGTTTTTTGCAAACTTTGCGAACGACGGCTCTCAGGCACAAGAGACACGGAGAGGCTTTAATGACAGCGAGGAGTATGATCCCTTCTGGCAGAGGTGGGAAACTGTATGTAAATCTGAAACCCGTAGAGTGTGTCCAACACCCAATGCTTCCCAGTGTCCCATTGAATCTGAGAGATGTGATGAATCTAGAAACCGTGTAGCGACTCCCGTTCCTTTATCCAGTGATTCACACTCACCTCCCCGTCAAACTCGACCCGCTTCCGAAGCTCCCGGCTCTGCTCCTGTAGATCCAGCATCCGCAGACTGTTCCCATATCTCGGACAACACCCCACTCTCCCATCGCTCTTCCAGGCATTACCTTCCTCTCCTTCATTCTCCTCTTCCTACCACGGTAAACACCTGAATATGATGACAAAAAGGCTCTATATGAGGCATACAAATCTGATGTATTAAACCTGATACTCAACAAAAAAAACACATGCAAACTTTTTTAAACTGCTCCAATTTAAACACTGAGATATCATATGTGAAATATCAGCATTTTCTATAGTGTGCCTAGAGGAAGCATATTACTGCATGACATTAACCCTGCTAAGCCTGACATATGGAATAATCTCATTGTTTGAATTGGAACAGTTTAATGAAACAAAAAAAAGTTTGCATGTGTGTTTTTGTTGAGGATCAGATTTAATAAATCAGACCTTTATGCCTCATATAGTGAAAATATGGATCAAAAACTGCTCAGTTTTATTCATAGACTCAAACCGAGCAGAAATATGCTGCAGATGCTGATATTCACATGGAAGCTTGTTATGTAAAACAAGGAGATCTTACATAAAATGCATATAAATATCAATATCTGCCAATATTATGCCTTTGTAAAAAGATATTTAAATGCTTAGTTTTATTATCTGTAGTTTTAAAACACAATGCAATGAAATACAATGATTGACAGGTGAACAAATAAACCTAAAAATATCAAGTAAACCTGCATTAGTCCTGCTTAAATATTACTAACAATATCAAAGTTATGACGTTCACTTGATTTGACAGCAGAACTTCGACGAGGACGTTTGTACAGTAAGATTATAAAGATAAAAGAGTGAAACGGATCAATCAGAGACAGAAAGACTGGAGTGGAGTTTGAGATTGAGGGAAATATCATGTTGGTCATTTCGAGGTGTTCTAGATGTGGGCTTTATAGGGTTAATCAGAGGTTTGGTCAGAGGCTGTATTAGACGATGTGACGGAGGAATGAGGTGAAAGCTCAGCTGATAATAATAGCGGACACACGGAGCACTAATGCCAGATCTACTGCGCAAAACTGGAACAGAGGCGCTTCTGTTCGGTGTCGACTTCACACACACACACACACACACACCGTCGAACTGATCATGCATTACTCAGCAGTCTGACTGTAGGAGGGCTGAGGAGTGCAGACTTTAATCTGCCTTTATGCAGTATTGTGTCTTTACACTGATCTGTGATCAGCCACAGAAGTGTTAATCAGGTGTGTGTGAAGGCATTTTCCACCTCTGAATGAAGGCTCAAACTTATTATCAACATTTATTAATGCAGTTTTGATTGCATTGATCCGCCGCTTCAGATGCAGATTCTGCGCCGCTAGTGTCTCCAGTGTCGCCGTCACCTTGATCAAACATTTATTATGCTGGATTATACATATCATATCAGTAATAATAATCCACTAGTGCTTGTCCTGTGTTCTTCTTCATGCTGTTTAGTAAATGCTTACAAATCTTGTACTTTGAGCCGAAATAAATCTCGTCTATATCATCAGAAGCGGGACAAGAGAGGAAATAAAAAGAAGGGATTTTGAAAACAAAAAGTGTCCATATAATTGGCTTTATGCACAGCTGCACTACTTCCTGAACTTAAGCCAGCTCCTTTGTTTCCTGTCTGCCATTATTGGACAAATTAATTAGTTCAGGTGTGCCTGACCTCAGTAGTCACGGCAACAATAATCAGACACACCTGAATTAATCAAGCTTGGCCAATAATGGCAGACAGGAAACAAAGGAGCTGGCTGAAGTTCAGGAAGTAGAGCAGCTGTGGATAAAGCCAATTAAAGTCAAAGGTCATCCGACCTGAGCACTGTACCGTCAAATTGTAAAAACCCAATTGTTCACGGTGCATTAAATAATGTTACTTACAACTTTTGATTTTAGACATGTATCAGCAAATGTTTAGAAGAAGTATTTTTTCATGGTTACTTCATGTTAACCAATATAGTTAAACTAATGAAACATTAGTGTAAAGTGTTACTAACATATTTGATAATATGATAAATATGTCTATATGTAATATGTATATGATATGTTTAATATATTATATTTAATTTAATTTTAAAAAAAACCTGCATGATAAAGTGTGAATTTTTGTAATGTAATTTCTGGTTTCTTGGGATATATTATTATAATACTGAATATTATACAATAAACATTATATTTAATGTTTCATAATTTATATTGTGTCATATATTGATAGTGTGGTTGGTTAACCCCGTGTGTTCCTCCAGCAGTGCAGAGCAGCGGCTCGGCTCCTCCAGGCCCGACGGCGGCCCGTGTGCTAAAGACGCTTGCCTCGCTAACGGCCGCGCGGGTCGCCGCTCAACCCTCATCTGCCCAGAGCGCCTGAAGGACTTCGGGGCCGAGGAATACCTCAACGGAGACGTGAGGGTGTTCGAGAGCAGCGTCTCAGAGCCAGCCGCGGTCCAGCTGATGTCGACGCCCAAACCGGCCGCCAAGAAAAGCGTGGAGGGCAAACCGGCGCCTAAAGCGGATCCGGAGCACCTGCGCTTCGAGGACGTCAGCGCCGCGGCATTCAGACTGCAGCAGTCCGGCATCCAGAAAACACCCTGCAGCGTACGCCACACACACACACACACACACACACACACGGCTAAAGATCCTCCTCTTCCTCTGAGTTCTTATACATGTACTGGAGAAGCGAGAGGACTGCAGATATAACTCTGTTTAGTGAGAAACAGTTAACAAGAACAAATATCTCCCAGCGATGGGTTTAGAAATCTAAAAACTAAAGTTTGATATATTTTTCGTGCTTCTTCTCCAGTAAACGTGTCCTGATTGAAGCATGTTTAGATGTTTAGAAACACTCAAACATCTGCGTCTGATCACACCGGACATGTGGAGTTTGCAGGAATGAACACGTACAGTCGTTCGCACACACGACTCCTCTGCCTCAGCCAGTTCGCTTTTATGGCCTCTTAAAAATGAGAGGCATTCGCTAGAATTACAAGCAACACTCTAAAACAGGCAAGAGCTTTAACCCATAAACGTGTGTGTGTTCTTCCCTCAGTACTCCAGACTGTCCAAACAGTACGGCATGGAGATCTACCTGAAGAAAGAGCTTCTCCATTACACCGGGTCAGCGAAGGAGAGAGGAGTGCTGTGCCTGCTGTCCTCGCTCAAACAGGTCTCAGATCAGCTTAATATCTGATATTATACCCAGACAGGAACATAGAGTCGGCCCACATCCGGTGTGTGTTCAGTCCACGTGTTCCAGGGGTGGGCCGTATTTTAGAGTAGTTCACTCTTCAAAAACACTTTTGCTGATAATTTACTCAGCCCCATGTCATCCAAGATGTCCACGTCTTTCTTTCTTCAGTCGAAAAGAATTAAGGTTTTTGATTTGGATTTTTTTCCATATAATGGACTTCAATGGGAACCAAACGGTTCAAGGCCCAAAAGACAGTTTCAGTGCAAACTGTTCAAAGGGCTTTAAACGACACCAGACGATGAATAAGTTGAATGAACCGAATGACTCGAAAAAAGTCATTTGGTTTGTTCATTTTGAATCGTTTGTTCATTTTGAATCGTTTGTTCATTTTGATGAACGATTTCAAACAGGAGAGTCACGAACGCGCATCACAGAACAGAGCAAGGTGAGCATTTGAGCTTATAAAACTTAAACTTTGTTATTTATTTATTAAATTAGCGATCGTTTCGCTTGATAAGACCCTTATTCATCGTCTGGAATCGTTTAAAGCCCTTTGAAGAGTTTGCACTGAAACTGTCTTTTGGACCTTGAACCGTTTGGTCCCCATTGAAGTCCATTATATGGAGAAAATCCTGGAATGTTTTCATCAAAAACATTAATTTCTTTTCGACTGAAGAAAGAAAGACATGGACATCTTGGATGACACGGGGGTGAGCACTCAGGGCGAATCCGAATCCACTTTTGCTAGTTTACCGACGGGAAAAATGGTCGGCGCTCCCGGTGCATTCCCTTAATGAGTAATGGGTGTGTTTTGGGCATAACGAGCCAGTTGCGCTCGCGTCATGGCGGATTCGCTATTTACACGGCGAAACTTGATAGTGGAAAAACTGAACGCTTGTCTAGCGAGGAAACGAATCTGCTCGTGCACGAGGTTAAAGCTGTGTGTG